TGTCCTCTGGTGGCTCAGCGATAAGCTTGTGGTCTTCTGACACTTCAATCAGGGTTCGATATCTTCAGGAGACAGTGTAGATAGCCCAGTGTGCAGCTTCGTGTTAAAACAAACTATGACTAAATTTAAAATCCTCCTTTTGATAAACAACATTCAATGGTTACTGTATCTCACAAGAGTGTGAATCAATGTGGAAGGGTAATATTACATTTATAAAATGTGAAATGTTTTTACATGATAAAATGTGATGTATATTGGGAAATCTTATGTAAGACCTCGAACCTAGCTTGTATGTACTAGTTGTAAATGCAGCCATAGCTAAGCTATTCCTTTCATCAAGCTCATGCTGTATTGTAAACGCAAGATTCACAGGACATAGTGTTAAAGCGCCTGAGTATCGTTTATGATACACAGCTACATACATTTGACACGTAGCAAAATGAACTGGTTGTTTAGGTTCAACGTATGAGATTAGAAGAGAGCTTCATATGAACATCACATGTGAATGATGATAGGTTAAGTTATTTTCACTCAAGAGAAAATGTGACCCTAGGATTTTTAGTTTCTAAAACCCTCTTCTCTACTTTTTTCAATAATACTAGAAGAATATGCTTCAACTTGGGTAAGTAGGCTTATAAACGTATCAATAAAAACCATTAAATGACCTAAAACAGGGAAACGGTTAAGCAAGAATTAATTAGAATATGCTTTGAATCAATCAAGTTAAACTTTGTTCGTGATTTTAAAAGGAGTAACGAGCTTTTCCACCCTGTAGGTCCAGCTGTAAACGTGAATACCGTAATATGATTTTAGCCTTAAATTTTGATAAAAGAAAACTGTGAAGGAGGTTTTTCATTTCTTTTGTTATTTCAGGTTGATTTTTGTAAATTATGATTTTATTCAAATAAAAAGTCTCTACGAGTTTTATACATGTACAAATGAAATCTTATTTTGCAGTAGAGTTAAAAATAACAACTCAGCCATCCAGTAAGAATTTGTGTGTGATGGTATTACTGAGCATTAAACATATTGCTTTATTTTTACACATTATCTACAGTATCAGAATCCAACTGAAACTTTTGTATGTTTGTCATGAGGCTATTGTGTGAATAGTGAGATAGTTTAGCAACACGCCCTTTACACCATTAATAATGTGCCTTTCATATTCAGTTCACTCAGTCATAAGCTAACTAATACTAAGAAGATAGAGGTAGACACTTCGTTTCATTCGAAAGCAACAAAATGATGCCGACTTTATGTTTATGTAAACCTGTGAAAGAAACATCAAATAAAAAAAAACTTGAGGAAATTATAGTGTTATTGACAAAACGTCAGTTCCATTTCATTCATGCAGTCTCCTATTCAGTTTTGTCATATGATGAATATTATAGCACGTACTCTATTAACATGTTAAAGACCCGAAACAAATATAGAAAATTATTTTGGTTTAGTGTCTGAGTATGAATTAATTTCACTTGTTAGTGAGACGTGAATAACACTGAACCACCTTGAACTACGTTTTATTTACGATGCAAATGACGTTGAAAAGTTATTTGAATGGGGCGGCTATGGAAATGTAAGAATAATCCACTGTGGACAAAATAACGTACCCGAATGAATAAAAGTGGTCGGCGCCCTTACATGTTATTCTATATTGTTTGACTGTTGTTTATTTAAGCACAAAGCTACACAATGGGCTATCAGCGGTGTACCTATCTGAAGGATCGAACTTTGAATTTTAGTGTTATAAGCCCCTCAAACGTACCGCTGAGCCCATATTTTACAGTGGCAAATATATTTCCCTCTTCTTAGAAATTGATTCTTGTCACAGAAGATCGCAATGACCACTATAAATATCAAGTTTTAATAAATAGTGGCAGTTAATGTATAATCGTGTTGAAACTTCTGTGTGTAATAATCTTTTACAGGTTCTACATTTTATCCAATGCCGCTTTACTTAATTCAAATGTTGTTGTAATAATTAAATTGTATATTCAGATTATGTTTGAGAATAGTTGTACGGAACATCAAGTATTTTTAGAATACACCGCATATATGTTATAGAAGTAACTAATAGCTAACTCTATTACTTTTCCCTTTATGTTGGATAAACCTTGCTAATAACTACTACTAGATAATGTAAATAACAATAATTTTTACCGAGATCCTAGAGCAGCAGTAAATTAATGGTGCAGGATCAGCGACTGTTGTTGGTAGGATAGATGTGGGTGAGTGTGGTGTGAGAAGTCAACAGCAAGTTGCTGTAAAATTGCTTCACGTTAAATTGCTTATGCGACACATGGGATAAACGAACAAATCAGAGACCCGAAAGTTCGGGAATGTTTCTAATTTAGAACTGCTTGCGAGAGGGAAGTCTATCAGTTAGCAGCGGGCTGACATGTCCTGGTAGGGCACTCGTCTTAAAATATGTGGGTCGTGGGATCGAAACCCATCGCTGAACTTATTCGCCCTTTCAGACGTGGGGTGTTTAATGTTACTGTCAATCCCACTATTCGTTGCTAAAGAATAGCTCACGGGTTAGTAGGGGCGGTGTTGACTAGTTTCCTTTCCTTTAGTTTACTACTTCAAAATTAGGGACGACTAGTGCAGATAGCCATGAAGTAGCTTTACGCGAAATTCAACAAGAAGAAACAAGCAAACAATCAGCAGCACCTGCCGCATATACGGTTGCTATTAACCAAATAGCTAGATTGACTGCCGGGTTATAATGCTCCCACAGCTGAAAGTACAGGATGTGTTTATTGGTATATTGCTGATCAAACATTGGATCTTCCAATTCATAGTCTGGTATCATTAATCCACGTCTAACCTTACAAGGAAGAAAGAAATATAAAGAAAAGGGTTTTACTGCACGATTTTTACATTGTGTTTGAAGAGAGAAGAACAAATCTACCTTCAGTGTTCATATTTAATCAAGGTACCTTCTTTGTTCCATAATCATTGTCCCACAGTGGATCAACAGTACTTTTACGGACTCACAATGCTAAAATCTAGTGTTCGATTCCCCGCAGTGGACAGAGCGCAGATAGCCTTTTGGGTAAATTTGCATTAAAAACAAACGTTCTCTTCATCCAACTTGAGGCCTGGCATAGCCAGGTGGTTAGGGCGCTCGAATCGCAGTCTTCGGGTTCGAAAGCTATCATCAAACATACTCACCTGTTCAGCCATTGGGGCGTTATTGTGTTACAGTCAATCCCACTATTCGTTGTTGATTAGCTGCTTTCTATCTAGTCTAATACTTCAAATTTAGGGAATATCTTTGCGCAAAATTCAACAAACAAACAAATAAACATTACCCACCTTATATTTCATGGTGCGAGTCGTTCGTGACCATAAATCTATGTGGCTAAGAGGCCATAAAAGTCAGCCGTGAGGCAACATTGTACACCATAGTGACGAATGCGTTATAAAGTATATGATGTCATTTGTAAATAAACATAGGCAAAAAACAAACATTAGGACTAAAATTGATTTTGTTTTTACAGGGAGACGCTAAAAAAAAAGAAACAACAGAAGTTTATATATTCTCACTAAGAGCTATTGAAACGTTAAAAAATGTGTTTAGAAAAAAATTGCAATTCACTAAAACACACGTGGGGACAAAGCTCAAAATATAATCATCACTGGTATTTGTTATCAGAATGAATGATAAAACATCTATTAACTTATAATATTAATAATGTTTTGCTGAATTTTTGAAAAATTCCACTTGGGGTTTCAGCCCCCCTCCCCTCCCCGGTTGACAAAGCGCAGGTAGCCCATTATGTAGCTTTGCGCTTAAAAAAACAGTAACTTGAGGTTTTGTGAACAGCGAGATTCAGTGTCTATCCACGTTGCATGATTTAATCTATATAAATAATACGCTAGGGTTTGTCTATTTGTCAGTCATGACAAATGTCTCGATCAAACACTACAAATCTCGTATCGTTAGAAAGGCCCTTGTACGAGGAATCCGGATTGCATATTGGGTTTTCCATTGAGAATCAACGTACCTGTTTTTTCATTTAGTCAAACATTTTAATGCAACGAGTAATGCTACACGATAACACAATGTTGTTGTTATCACGTGACAACTGCCTTCGATTTCAACTTTTTTTAGTTTTATATTTACAGAGTATTTCACACTTAAACAGCATGCAACTTACTAAAAAAATCAACATTACACTAAATACAATCGCTATGGGCTTTCTCAACTTATTTAGGTCTAAAATACACATGCGCAGTTCGTTCAAAACCATATGCTTATCACTTTGTGAACATGCATTCAGACATTGCTGCATATTCAGCTAAGTTTGCCTTCATTACAACTTTATCTTTACTTTGCATTCTTTAGTACAGATTTTATTATTCGTTTTTATGAGTTTCTTTGTTTCAACTCGTAAGACTGTGTCATACACTGAACACTCATAACTGTATTATGCTCTGTACACTATTATTAGTATCATTATTATACTTCGTTGTTTACTTTATGTGTAGTTTTTTTAATAAAGTGACCTCTACGTGAGTCTGTTTGTCTAACCGCGTAAAATGTATTCAAATAGACCAGGATTTATCGATATAACACATAATGCTTGCAAGAAAGCGTAACCTAAATGGCGTGCATGAAAATGATAGAATATGGAAAATACAAATGAAGGGCATCAAAACTACTGCAAATGTTTTGCGGATCGTGGCTAGTACTGAATAACTTTCTATATTGCATGAGTCAATGCTGAATATTTTTCAACTTAATCTAAAAGTGGATTTTCATTTTAAAACATGGCAGGAGATCAGAGAAGGTGACTTTATATTTTTTTGTAGTGAGGGCAGGAGAAAATATCCAAGGTTCCTCAGTAAACAATCTGAATATAGAAATTAGATCAGTTGGAAAATCGTTATATTTTAGATTCTTCGTGCAAGTTGTAACTTAAATATTAAAAGAAATAACCATTGTAGTGATGAACTCGAATAAAAAAAACGTGTTTAACATTTATTTATAGGCTCTAAATTCTTATGCAGTCAGTTGATGGCTCCCATCCGAAATGAAGAAGGTGTTATTTCTATTTTCATTATCAATTTTGAAGATCTCACAGACGCCCCCTATCGAGATGAACAAATCGACGTAGCGTCCCCAGTATTTGAACCTGGAAAATGTAAGTAAGCGTTCCCTTACGTAGTTACCAGATATTTCATTTATCTTTAGATTTTTTTGATAATTTAACTGACTGAAAAGTATGATTTATATGTGAGAGTGTGATTAAAACTTCCTTCCTTTATACTGTACATATAATGTGATAAACTGACACTACAATCCTATATCGTCATGACACGCTTCGAGTGTTGCTTTAAATTAGAATATTCAAGTTGTTGTCATAACAGCATATTCTTATTTTTGTACGTATAATGTAGCGTGGGCCACTCTAAAACGTGTCATAATTATACTGAAATGATAGCAGTGTGGCCAAAAAACAGTTTAAAATAAACGCGGTAAAAACTGTAGATAGTGTTCTCCCTAACTGTGGGTCAAGTGTGAAAGTTTGCGTTTGGATTGTGTTTTTTTTTTCCTCACAGATGACCTCAGTGTTCAACATGTTGGATTAGTTATAAATTTGATAATATAGATGACATTTTGTTTTTATGAGTTACAAAAATCGTAGTGAACCATACTTTAGAATTATTGCATCTTCACACCTGTTTTAGTATTTGACTACTAGTAGAGAGAGTCCTGCAAACTATTTGCAGTCAAATTAGTATCTTTATTGCAACAATACTTCTTTGAGTACAGAATTTCTAGAATAATACAAAGTAATTCTAACTGCAGACACTGAAATCTAAGTCCACTTGTTTTAGGCATAATATTAGTTAAGCCTTTATTAAGTACGGCCTATATTCGATAGAAATAAATTAACACTGTATCTTGTGTACGTGTTACGTTTTTTGTTTTTTATTTAGTTTAGTTAGGACGGAACTTTACCATACTTAATACTATCAATAGATAAATTTATAATGTTATTCTACGACCTAACGTTAGACCTTTTATAAAAGTTTAGTAAGCTTTTAATATTTTGTTGTACTAAATATGTACTAAAGTATATTTACAACTGCCTGAAATGCGCTAAAATGTTGAATAAAATCAAGACAATTTGTCTTTTAACGAGTAAAACTATGGTGTGTTGATGTGAAATATTTGGTGACAGAATGGTGTAAGCATGAATTTAAATTGATTTTATTTTTTTTATTATCATTTCTTGATGGTTGATCAATTCTTAAGTACTTAAGCTAAATATACATTGCTGAATTTTTGGGTTTATGACAGATATATATATTTCAGCTCAAATAAGCCCCCCAGTGGCTCAGCGGTAAGACTTAAGGCTTATAACGCTAAAACTGGGTTTTGATACCTGTGGTGGGCACAACACAGATAGTCAATTGCGTAGTTTTGTGCTTAACTACAAACAAACAGCTAAAATAAAACGGTACACGAAATTCCGTTCGTTTTAAGTTTTATTTCAACGATGTATGATTTCATAACAATGTAAGATTAAGAATCCAAAGGTCGTTTTTTTTTTCTCTATCAAAGTTGAGCAAATTCACAATCATAGTTCAGGTTAACAATTATATTTATTTTTAGAAGATGGTTTTAAGAAAATACTTCTTTTTATTGCTCTACAATTAAAATATACTTGAAAATATTTGAAAGTGTACTATTTAAGATGGAGCCTTGACATCTCTAAGATTTGAAAGATGGGTCTGTAGAATGAAGTTGGTGAGACATTTGTTCAACTTACTTCGAAAGATTAGTCACATTCCTCTCCCTTTTCGTTTTAGTGGTGAGATGTTTCCCGGTCTTTCGGCAGTTTCTCGAGGATCGTCCAAGCAGCAGGACCAGATCAACAGTTTTTCAACATTGTTGCAGCGAATCCGCAGGTTCAATAATGTTCACACTTTTTTTTTGCACTTTTTTTCTGCAGAACTTGGATCTTTGTTTTTACCTGTAACGGCACTTCCATCTTGCTTGTCACTGCCGTGTGATGCACTCTAACTTGTGTCCGTCCCCTTTTGTATTGTGCTAGTTCAGTTCGGTTGAATGTTTTATGGGATTATTGTTTTTAATTGTTATTATGTGAACAAAAATAATTAGCATACCAGTTTCCAAGTTTTGGGGTTTTATTTATTAATTGGACTTGCTCCACTGATTGCACTCTGCTATACTCGTCTGTAAGTTTTGTAACCTTGATACAGATGCTTGTGTGCTAACTGAACTGAGCACGTCATTTTAGCACTTTGAATTTTCAGTGGTTTTATTAATATGTGTCAGTCTGTCTTTTATATGAAACTATTTTTACAATGATAAATAACATAGTTTAGGGATAATAGATTAACACACGTTAGAGCAAAAATTAAACCAAATTCCCGGGAAGGATGTTTTAAAGGTTGTTCGACCTTAGCGTATGGGTTAGGATATGCTTTTTTTGTTGTTGTTCAGAGATAAAGCACGTGCAAGTCGAATTTTACCAAAAAAAAGTTCATGGTGAAGGTATCTATGACGATATATGATCAAATGACATATTGAAAGTAATATTAAAAAATTATGTATACTTTTTACGTATTGATGAAAGTATAATTGTGGATTATGCAGCTTTTTCAAAATATAGATAATGTTCCAATCAAACAACCGTCATCGATATTTTAAAAACCTATCAATGTTTTTTGCTCGCAAGTTTGGATACGTGACGTCATTTTCCAGTACGGCGAATAAAGAATAAAAATATGTATTTTTTAGTCTAAAATTCTCCCTCTAAAAACCCTGTTATCAAAAAGTTTTGAATGAGAATTAAAATTTTGATTAATATAACAAATTATTTCATTGTGGCATTAGCAGTTTTATCAATGAATATTTTAATAACAACGGAGTTTATAGAAATGAATGTGTATAACTTCTCAAAAATTAGTGTAGCTATAAATAACTTGGATACGTAATCACACGTAATCATTTGGTGTCGGTGTTTCTCTTACTAAAATCTGTGGTTCGATTCCCCGCAGTGGACATAGTGCAAAAAGCATACTTTATAGCTTTGCGATAAAACAACAACAAAAATTTTTCAATTTATTTTTTACTTTATACAACTGTTATGTGCTTTAAACTTCTTTATCCGACTCCGAATAAAATTCAAATAATTTTCCAAAAGTTTACTGCAAGAATATCCTCATACCCAAACAAAGTATTCAACTACTTTGGAATAATCTAGTCAGTTTTCTTTAGGTACCATTTTTTAGAAGGTTCTGTTAAGAAAACAAAATTGCTTAAAAACATCTCCTTAAAGTAATTTGTGTAAGACACTTAAACGCGAATGTTTTATCTCATTCTTTCCTGAAAGTCTTACTCTACATGTAATATTGACTGCAACCTCCAAACCTATTCAACTACACTACTTTACTTAAAGGAAACAGACGTTTGGCTCCAGTGAGTAGTTTAATGGAAGAATAAGAAAAACTGCACAACCAATGTTATTTCTTGAATGAAACAGATATCCCTCTGGACAGTTATTCCAGGTTTCTCCACTCTAAAATGTGATAGAGATAGATGACATAACTCCCTCTTATTTCTGGTATAATAGGTTCATAATAGTTGACGGCAGTGACAAAGGAGGAGTGTTGACACAGTGAAAACTACTTTTCAGGGTTTTTAGTTGCCATTTCAAATTTCAGGGAAAACATTTAACACGCCCATTGGGAAAAGCAATAAATTAAGTACATGAGATGTTTATTTATTGCAAATGCATAAAGCCACTATCTTTAACTAATAAAAAAAAGGAGCTGTGGCTGTCAACAAACACAAACTTTGCTATATCGGCTTGAAAGACTATATTAAGCATATTTACCATCGTAAAGTAGCGTAGTTACTTGCGTAAAGCCAACATTTGAAAGTTTTTAATTCACAAAAGATAACATACAGTACGTTGAAGATGTTTACACAGATAATAGATATAAATTCATTAGTAGTATAAACATTACAGTGGTTAACTTTAAGAAAAGTTTATAAAGGAGACCAAATTCTTGTAAAAAAAATTTTTTTTGTCTGGATTGTGTATGAAATAATATATCTTTAGTGAATAAACATGTTATGATTTATGATCTCTTTCTTCTTCCTCTTACAGCCCTAACTTTCATCGATTTTTAGGTTATATCACCTTCGCACGAGGATCTTTAGTTGTAGCTTAATATTTTCTTTTGGTTTAGCCATATGACATGACCAGCTTCAATTTATAACATTCTCTCATTAGTATCTCAGCGTGGTTAGTGTAGTTCTAAGAACTTATGAGCGAAATTAAAGAAGACTGTATAAAATATATCAACCACACTATATTGCTATATCTAGTGCTGACGAGGCCTTTCGCTCAATACCAGGGTACGTCAGGCCGATAGACACTGTAGTTGTTGAGACTATTTATATTATCGAATTGCATAAACAACAACTGTTATGGTGTGAACTAGATTAAGTTGGAAAAAAGTGTAATTTTTTAAATTTTATATGAGTGATTTACACACATCAGAATTATGGTTAATAACACACTATTGTTTATTTATTTTAACCAAACAAGTATTCGTTGGCCTTCCTTATAGTCTATAACTTCTAAGTTAGGGACGGTCAGCGTAGATAGCCCTCTGGTAACTTTGCGCGAAATTCAAAAACAAAATTTATTTTGACGTCAAATAATTATTATTATTATCATTATTTTTACTTGAATTAACTTTATTCATAACTTAGAAAACTTGATGAATCAGCAAGCTAGTCTTATTGCTCATTTGTAGCTCCAGTCATTTATGGCTTTGAGTGGTATACCTTCCCAAGTTTCTCGAACCATCTTAATCTACTCCGTGTTTCTCTGATCAGCGTATACTCTCCTCATTAGCATTTGTAACTTGGTCTTCCTGTGTGTCAGCGATAAGCTTGAGAGCTTAGCTTAAAACGCTAAAACTCAGAATTCGGTATTCGCAATAGACACACGTAGATAGCCCAATGTGTATTTTTGCGCTTAAACACAAACAAACAGTCTATAACTGGCTCATACTTTCTCTGTTTTGCTTCAGTTTTCTTTCTATAACCAGTTTCTGTTTATATTCCATTCTTTTTATACTTCTGCTGTTTTTGGAGCATACATAATATCTCATTGTTAGCGTAATATTCTTTACCTTTGCCTCAGGTTTTTTTTGCATTCAACAATTTTCAGGTAAATTAACCCTCACTAGTGTCTCTAACTAACTTGATTTATTCACCGTTTTGATCCATCCGTCTGATTTAGAAACATACTATCCATCATTAGTATAAGTCGTCTTACTTTGACTGGGTTCGGGATACCCCACTTCTTATCAGTATCTCTTACTAGCTTATTACAGTGTTTCGCTGCATTTCTTTGACTTTAACCAAATTAGGTGTATACTATCTCTCATCAGTACATCCAACTAGCTTAATTGTTTTTCAGTTTTTTGACTTCGGGTATAGTATTTCTAATTCGTATACTTGGCTTACTCTTCTACTTTCCGTGAAAATTTTCTTTCTGTGGACCATAATAAAGAATGAGACTACAACAACAAACACGTCCATTTTGGGCCTAGCATGTTCTCATGGTTAGAGAAATCGTCTCGCAATATGCAAGTTGCGGGTTCGAATCCCGTCACCGAACATGCCTTTTCAGCCGTGGGGGCATTATACTATGACCGTCAATCCCACTACTGGTTGGTTAAGAGCACCCAAGAGTTGACAATGGACGTTGTTAACTAGCTTCCATCCCTTAGCCTATCTCTTCAAAATGAGTAACGTTTAGCGCAGATAAGCGCCGAATAGTTTTGTGCGAAATTCATCAAACAGACGGTCATCGGTCTGATCAGTGCTTGCTTCATTTTCAACATTTTTTCTGGTTTTTATTTACATTAAATATCATGCTTAAGCCGTAGAACAAAGAACAACGACGGATACTTAAAAAGTTATGAAATTTCACTTTCTGAGAATGTGCGAGTTTTTCTTAATAAATGAGACAGAACAAAAAATATAACACTCGTACTTAAACGATGCTATCACACAATATGTTGAAGAAGTGTAATTTAAAAGTTATATGGATATTTTTGTTTTGTTTTTTAATCTCTGAAGGCTAGGCCTTTAATATATTCTATTATCAAAATATTTAAGAAATATGCGTGTTTAAGTTTTGACGACTGTACGTATATCCTTTGTTTTGTTGTAACTGGAAATGTAAAACAAACGTACCAATTGAGCTACAATATGAGAACCTGTATTCATATCCAGCACTCATATTCATGATAGTAAAAAACACGTACGATTAAAAAGGGTGGTTGGTCCCATGGTGGGTCAGGGGTAGGTTTACCGACTTACCATGCTAAAATATTGGGTTCAATTATCCGCGATGGACAGAGAGCAGATAGCCCATTGTGTAGCTTCGTACTATATCAACAACATCTCTAGTTTAAAAGGCTGGTAAAATACATTTAAAAAACACGGAAAAAACATGCTTTCAACAGGTCCATCTGTCGAATTCGTCAGTTTTATCTCCTTTTAAAAATATCTATCGGTGATTATAGTGTTTAGTTTATTAATCAACGTAAGCCGTCAAGTCACGACCTCCTTCACACTTTCAAATTGCTGTCTACAATTATGCATGAGCGTGAGTGTGTCACTTTGATCATCCTGTATTACAGTAGCACAGATGAACGCGCGCGCGCGTGTGTGAGCGTGCCACTTTTGTTACATTGCGTACAAAATGCACAGTTTATTTGAGTAGAAATATATATACTTGTAGTAATATGTAGCTGACGATAGACTACATATTTCCGTCTGTTGTTGAGGAGTGCGCACCTTATTAGTTGCTTGGATGACAACTCTTGAAGAGTCAAAGGTTTTAGAATACTTT